ATACGTTTCACAGCAAAAGCTAAAAACTTCATAGAAAATAGGGAAATGAGTCTTCTTCTTGCTTCCAGAAGATAATATAAACACAACCACCATTAATATCGAACAAGAGCAGCACCGATAGCAACAAGCTCATATCTTCTTCTTTTCCATCATGAAGTCTTCACTGAAAACGATTATTAGGAGAAGCTATTCGAATCGTCTTCTCTCGAACGCCCAATCCACCATTTCGATTTGCGCTCTCCTCCTTTTCACTCTCTCCACCTTCGAACCGAACAATCAATGAGCGAGGACGATTATCAACGCCGATCCCAAAGATTCCTCGCCGATAATGAATCTCGCCATAGTACTTTGAAGCGGAAATTGAGCTGGGATTCTCTCTTGTTCTTGTCTAATTGGTACTTGTCCAAAATGTGGAAGCACCGAAAATCTAAACTCAAACGCGGATCAATCTCTCGTCCTCACGCGGTTCTGCAAGGCTTAGGCACTCTGTACAAGTGAGGAACCATAGCCATGGCCAATCTCCGAAGTTGGACTCGGTAATTGACGATGAGAATCAGAAAAACAATATAGAAAGAGTAAAAGAGAAGCAAAAAAAAAAAAAAAAAGGAGTAACGAAAACGTAGTTAGATACAGCTGCAAACCAAAGCCTATATCCGTTAACTAACTCCGGTCCGTTAATTTCACCGATTCAAGTTTAGAATTCAAGAATTATTATAGTAAAAAGCTCTCAGAAACATGAACAGTCACATCTAATTTTTTTGTTACAGTAAAAAACTGTCACATGAAGTCACATATAAACTCAAATTAAAAACTTAAATCAGTGAATTAAACGGGGCTCCGTTTTTTCATATTTAAAATAGCTGATGATGTGTCAAACATTAATAGGTGGGAGATCTGGACTCGTGGAGGCACGTGCACGTGAGTTGGAGGTGAATTACGTGAGAGATCAGAGCATCTCAATTCTCAAGCATTATGCATGCAGATCATCCGCACCTATACATTTACATTAATTAATCTTGTTCCCATGGTTGTGACCATTCAACTCCATTTCAATCAATCCCACGTCTCTACCAAAATAAATAAATAATTTTTTCTCGTTTTTTTTTTATACACTTTAGGATCTATAACTCTTATTTTACTGAGAATAAATAAAACCATCAGAATTTTAAACTCTAAAAGATACACTCACAAACTCACACATCCAATAATTTGAGTCAGTACCGAGCGACAGTCTTTCCTCATTATTTATTCTAATTCCCTTAAAAAGGAAAAGAGAAAAAAAAATGGCATTTCTACCTTCTTTTAGAGTTACATTCCTGATATATAAATTTGCAAATCTTAAATTTCTTTCCCTATCAAAATTGAATTTTGTATTTACTTGTTTAATTTTAAAAGTTTTCGTAATACGTTTTATATTCTTTTTTTACATGTTGTACATTCAAAATAAATTTGAGAAATCATGTTTTATATATCTTATTCTTGAGCGTATCTCATGGAGTAGTGCTGTTGTTACCTATTTGGAAATATACTTTTTTGAAGCATCAATTCGGCATACAAATCTTATATATGAAATCAAACTTGTCCAAAATGTCTCATTTAAGAATTTGATGGTTGCAACTTGCAAGTCAAAGATCTAGTGTCTTAAAAAGTCTAATTATTTGGATTAATTATCCCAAATATTTATCTATTATAACATTTCCTACATTATTTGGAATATTCACAGTACAAGCATTGACGCAGACATATTATATCTCTACGCTAACTCATATTATATCTCTAAGTTAATTCAGGTGACGTTTGGTTCGTAGATTTAAAATTATGGTTCATAATTCTTATTTTTAAAATTTAAATTTTTTGTGAGAGAAAAACACTATAACAAAACTAAAAATTATGATTCTAAACCAAATAAAACTCTTGAATCAAACGTCACCCGTTTAACATCATTAATTACGGACAAAAAAAAACGGGGGGAAAATGATCTTGTTGCCAATCATTTTACTTGCGAGGTAGTCTTTTCCCAAATAGTAGAAACATAAACGTTTACTTTCCACGATCCTATGTCAAACCTTTTTGGCATTTTTGACATGATGACAGAAGTTGTTTCAAAGAATGAAAAATAATTACTTTTTTCTTCTTGACCCGCACCAATATAGCTTTTTGATATAATTAAAACACACACACAAATAGAAGCTGGGTATCTACATAATACATTTCAAGTTACTTTGAAGTGACCATAGCTGGTTTTAGCAATAAAAAGTGTGAAACTGTAATGTCACTCCAATATGTAATATCATTTTAAATGTTATATATAGTTTTTAATTATCATAATTACTTAACTTTAAAATTTGTAAGAGCAAATTATTTAAAATAAAGGCAAAATTTTAATTCTAAAACAGTTTAAAAATGACCTCTTTATTGTAATTAACAATTAAACAAAAAGTCAATATACCAACTAATAGTAATCAAATGTCAAAATTTAAAATATGCTATATTTGACGTCAAATTTGATGCAAATTCAATATATATTAAATTTACCTTAATTATGGGCTGTCGTTGCCTAAAATTATTAGTTAAAAGGATAAAGTTATTTTAGTACCCTCTATTATAGCAAAACATCAGCTCGTTGGTATTTTGTGTTTTTAATAATATTAAAATTGATACCTTAACTTTTAAAGAAATTTTATTTCAGTACTCTGAAACCGATTTTTGAGACATACAATGTCCAAACTTTTTTTTCATTTAATTAATAGAAACTAATAGGTTTAAAAATATTTTCTGAAAACATAATTTATTTTGATTTTTAATTTTTAAATGTTTCAAAGTATTTTCAGTATTTTTTGAAAAATTATTAGCTTGCTATTAATTTGTGAGAATGGTACAATAAATATTTTATGTCTCAAAAATCTGTTAAAATATAAAAGAAGATTTTCTTAAAGATAAAGGTAATATTTTTTATATTATTAAAAATATAAAAGTATTAACGGGAAACATCGTTATAACTGAAGGTATCAAAATAATTTTATTTATTTAAAAAAAACAATGATTTTATCGCTCAAATTAAATTAAACCCGAATATTTTAATATAGATATTGTTTATTATATCGATAAATTAGCAGCAGCTGAATGGTGGAGAAGAAGACGAGAAGAAGCGCGTGGGGAGGCGCGTAAATGACGAGATTAGAGAGGGGTGGGAAAAAACTGGGAAAGAGCAGGGGAAGAGCCACGTCTCACGTCTTACTGTCTTAACAGCTGGTGGGACCCACCTCCAAACTTCAAAAAACATCAACATCACAAAAACAAAAACAAAACCCCCCTTAAGACACGCCCTGACTCTCTTGACCCGAATTGTTCGGCTGGGCCCCACATGATGCTTTGCCCCCACACCCCATCTCTTATATTTTGTTTTTTTTTTTCCAAAATACCCCTGTGAATGGAATTGTATTACATAAATGCCCCGTGCTTCTGAAACCGTGATGCTCAGTTAGTATTTATTTATTTATTTATTTACTGATTACTGATAGTAACGCACAAGTACTGCAAAAAGCCTAGTTTTATCTGTTGTAACCCCTGACCAATTCATGTTTTTACACAGTAAGAAGTGGAGGGTAACATGTTAGAAAGAAAACGCTTCTTCTTTTTCTTGGTAAGTGAAAAACTTTGGTAACTCAAACTGAGAAAGAATTAACTTGAATGAGACACACAAAATTAATTAAACACAACCGTCTCTTTTTGTAACCAATGTTACTATAAAAGTATTAAACCCTTTTGATTATGAGATGGTTAAGCTTTCAAAAATATTAGTTTTAGTGTTTTACAATGCCATTTTAATGATTATCGAAAATGTTTCTATAGTTTTCTTTTTGTTTACTTATGCATGAGTCAGAATTCGGAAGTAAGTTATATAAATGACGGTTTTTTACCTTCCAATGTTATTTTTTTTTTTATATATACATAATATAAAGCGGGGAAAAGGTTATAAGAAGTTACTTATATGCTTGAATTGAAATTTAATGCAGGTTGAGAGTTGCGGAAATATGATGATATATACAATATTAATTCATTACAACTGTTTTGCAGAGATATTATACGCAGCTAAAGCCTAGCTACTTGTGTTTAATGGCTTAAATGAGTACAGCTAGTTAATGTTGGAAGGATGAAACATTGAAGAAAACACATATCCATATTATTTGGTTGGTTTTTTTTTTTTTTTTTTTCCTCACTCACTTTTGTATATAAATATAAAGAAAGTTCTTTTAGTAATATTTGTTTTTTAAGAACACAGCAATAATCTTGGAGATGAACCAGCAGAAGAGAAGATGAGGAGAAGAAGAAGAGAGAGAGAGAGAGAGAGAGAGAGAGAGGAGAAAGTGATGTTTGGGAAAGAAAAGGGACAAGATGATCATAAAACGCAGGCTTTTAATCCTAGAAGACAGAGACATATAGACACACACATGATCAGAGAGAGAGAGAGATGGAGAGAGAGAGAGAGAGAGAGAACATGGCGTGTTGGGACCCTCTAGAGAGGGAAGGAGAGTGGTGTGAGAGACAAAGGAGAGAGAAAGAAAGAAAGAGGGAGAGGGGAGGGACCCACACACCGCCCATGCGCACGCTGTCTTACCAGAACCGAACCCATCATCGATCCGATTCCTTAGACCTAACCCTAACCCAACACCCACCAAAAAAAAAAAAAAAAAACCCCCAAAAAAGAGTCCACCTTCAAAACCCTCTTATACCCAATCCATTCATATCTATCTTAGCTTATTCTCCCCCTTTTTTCTTTCTTTCACTTCTAATTTCGATTTCAGCTAATTCTCCCAAACCCCTCAACCGAAAACCAAAACTTCCTAGCTGAGACTTTCGAGAGAGAGAGAGAGACCTGAAAACCAAATTATAACTCATCACATGAGCTTTTGCAAAGAGAGAAAAGATGGAGAAGATATTCAGCGCTTTCAGCTGAAATTTTTGGTGGGTATATAGTCAAAAATTAAAGCTTTTCACCATTTTTCCTTGTTCTTGGTGTAGACTTTATAGTTATAAGCTAGCTTTTGATTATAAGCACAACCACCAGAAGAGGATAATCCCACTATATACTCTTCCCTCTCTCTTTCCTTTATTCCTCTCAATCTGTTTGATTTGTAGGAATTTTTATGCTTGAGAGCTAGCTAGCATAGTATACCACTACTACTCAAGATCAATATTTGAAAAAAAAAAAAATTAAAGTGGTATCGAAAATGGATCCGATAGCCGCCGCTCACGGCCGTCCTCTTCCACCGCCGTTCCTGTCAAGAGATCTCCATCTCCACCAATTCCAGCAGCTTCAACACCACCACCAACACCAGCAGCAGCAACAACAACAGCAACAAAACTCCGAAGACGAGCAAAACAGCAACGCCTTAAGCCGAGGACAAAAGCGGGATCGCGATGACACCGCCACAACAACCCCCACAACATCAGAATTGGGAGGCGGCGGCGGAGGAGGAGGAGGAGGAGCGGGGGATTCGATGGATATAATAACCCGAAGGCCACGGGGGAGGCCCGCGGGGTCGAAGAACAAGCCGAAACCACCCATAATCATCACGAGGGACAGCGCCAACGCCCTCCGCTCCCACGTGATGGAGATCGCAAACGCCTGCGATGTCATGGACTCGATGTCCGCCTTCGCCCGCCGCCGCCAGCGTGGAATCTGCGTCCTCAGCGGCACCGGCACCGTCACCAACGTCACCCTACGTCAGCCGGCCTCCCCCGGGGCCGTCGTATCCCTACATGGCAGGTTCGAGATTCTCTCCCTCTCCGGCTCCTTCCTCCCGCCGCCCGCGCCGCCGGCGGCCTCAGGGCTGACCATATACCTCGCCGGCGGGCAGGGGCAGGTGGTTGGGGGTAGCGTGGTGGGTCCCCTTATGGCATCTGGACCGGTCGTCATCATGGCGGCCTCGTTCGGAAATGCGGCCTACGAGAGGCTTCCGCTTGAGGAGGAGGATCAAGCGAATAATCAGGTCTCGATGCAGGTAAGCGGAGGGCTTGGATCGCCGGGGAGTCTTAATGTCGGACAACAACAACAACAACAACAACCACCGCAACAACAAGAACAAATGTTACAAGATCCCAATACATCCACACTCTATCACGGCGTCCCCGCGGCGCAGAATCTCTTGAATTCATGCAATTTGCCCTCCGACGCGTATTGGGGCACGGCTGCTCGGCCTCCTTATTGACCTTTTCTCTATTATTTTTAATGTTTTGGTTTTTTTCTTTTTCTTTTTTTTTTTATATGAATGAATCTCTTTGTTAATCTTAATCGACTTTTCTCTGATCTGTACTCAGGTTTTTCATTATTTTCTTTTTAACTTCCCTTTTATATGTGGTTAATTTATTGAAGATGTTATTCATGATACCGGTACTCTTAATTTGATTGAAGAAGAACGTACAAATTTTCATGGATTTCTATAATCTGTTGGCTTTTGTTATGTTGTCCGAATAGTTACTCCACTTCGCGGCCCCAAGTGACGGTAGCTTAAAGCTGAAGTAATTACAGTACTACATGAGCAAGATATAGAGATGGTGGATTAGCACCAAAAAAAAAAAAAAAAAAAAAAAAAAAAAGGGAGGGGGGGAAAACCCGTTGCGGCCCCTCCCCAAGTGACGGTAGCTTAAAGCTGAAGTAATTACAGTACTACATGAGCAAGATATAGAGATGGTGGATTAGCACCAAAAAAAAAAAAAAAAAAAAAAAAGATATGGAGATGGTGGCAAATCCGTTGCTGTCCCTCTATTCAAGTTTTTCAGGTGGTGCAGTTTCTGCCAACTTGTCTGTTAATCATTCATCAACTCTTTGCAGGAAAAGATAACATCTATGGTGACCCAAAAACTGGTTTCTTAGTTATTAATTTGAATATATACTTCATATTTTTTTAATTAAACTTATATTAATCACTGTATTTATTTATTATAAGCATCATCATTTTGTTCCTTTTGACACCCATCATTGCACCCAAAACCTTTTTTTTTTTTTTTTACACCTTAAACTCAATCAACTTCTTTATAGTGATCTTCTTCTTTTCTCTTCTTGTCTACTTACAATAGTCAGGCTACTGTTTGTTTGATCAACGTTTTATTTGATCAAGAGAATAAGGTTACAGGAGTTATGGGCATATGGGTCTCTCTCTCTCTCTCTCTCTCTCTCTCTCTCTCTCTCTCTCTCTCTTACAGTCTGACTGATTATTAGGGTTTATTATAGAGGCAGAGAGGTGAGCATTGGGTACTGGATCACACGTGCGCTGCTCCGTGAAAAGCTCCTTTTCGAGGCAACAGCCAGAAACAAACAGACCTCAAGCCAAGCAAGCGTTAAAGTCTCTCCCTCTCTCTCTCTCTCTCTCTCTCTCTCTCTCTCTCTCATTGGCATCAGAGAAGTAAAGTTAGGAGAGTGAATCAGCAAGTGAGAAAAGCTGGTAGGTATAAATTAATATTTTCCATATAATAATAAGAGTTAACTTTGTCTTGATTCTGGAATGGATGCTCTCTTCTTGAAACCCTAGCTAGTTCTAGTACTTCTTTTCACAGCTTAAATTCAAAACAAAAAAATAAAAATAAAATCCCTCACACATGTATACATCATTCTTATTTATTTGTGTTGTTTCTTTGGATTCTAGTTTAAACCTATAAATATATATATATATATATATATATATGCTCTAGCGTGCCCTCATTTCTGCTCTTGATCAGAGATTTATCAGAGA